GGGTTTGGGAAGAAAGTTTGTTTTCATGAAATGTTTATCACTTTATCACTCATTTTATCATTTTTTATTTGTTCATTGAACAATGCTTGACATTTCCACTTTTTCAATAGTTTTTTCAGTCAAAAGCATTTCCCTTGATGTGTAGAAATATTGCTGTTCAATTAATGATAAAATTATTGAAATTGGTTTAGGGGCAGCTGAGTTATTTATGTTCAAAATCTTTCATAATTTTGTTACATGTTCCATTTATGGTTTTCACAAAGTGTACCCCCATATAGAAAGCACAGACGTAGTCCTACGTAAAAAAATAAAAAAAATTGCTCATATTTTGGGAATTTCACAGAGACTTAGAGATTTTCAGCGAAGTTTAAAGATTTTTAAGACAGTTTCACAAATATTTAAGGGCAGTATCAAGAACTTCATGAGCATGATTGACCGTCCGAGGATTCAACTCCGTTATTGCCAGATCAGCTGTAATTACACAGCGAACCAATAGACGTTGCGTTGGGACTAGCAATTATCCTCACTGTGTAAATACTGGAGATCTACAACTAGACAATACCAGCGCCAGTCACGTCCAAATGCTAGGAAATTTTTTTTTTCAAGTTCACGTAATTCCCGCTTAAATGGAAGCCGAGAACACCTGTGCACGTCCACGAGAAATCATTGGGATGTTGGATAAACGGGTTGGGATTGCAGCAGGATTCGTTTTGGTAAACGATATGCCGTATTGATACCCTAACGATTCAAAAGTGTGAATGATTTGTGGTTTGAACCAGTGATCTTCTACTCAGTAAGCAAATTCGGTCACCGCTAGTTCATCGAGCTCCTTATATGCCAAAACAATTACGATCAAGTTCCTGTTCAACTTGCTGCTACTATATTTCAATCACGGCGGCGATCTCACCGATGATGGCAACAACTGCTCTTAAGAAGGATTTGATATGAATTTCCAATCAACACGTCTTCCCTGAAACAAAAATTTTACTACTTTCATGTACCCGTCCCGCCAATTGGCTTTACATGATATTATGAAAAAAAGTAAAAACCTGGAAATGAGAAAACAGCTTTCAAAGATTTTACAAGTTTTCTGATTTGAAACTTATTTTAGAGGGATAAATTCAAAAATAAACGTACACTGTGATAGAGTGCATCTATGTTTACCAAAAAATATTGGATAACATTTCGTGAAATTTTTATTTCATGGCAAAAATCTGAGTGGGACTGACTTGCGATTACACTTAACGTCAATGAGAAAAATAACCGCAAGTCAGTCACAATTCCATGACGATGATGCATTCGTTTAGCACAGTATTGAACAGTAGGAAGATACCATAGTCCCATAGAACGTTATTGTATGTTGCTGGATTTGTTCCGCTGGATCTAGAACAATGGCCGGAACATATTCAGGTGAGTATGGGTTTTCATAAGACCAGAGCGAAACGTGCCAAACCCACCATGCGATAAATCAATTCACATGAGAATTCAAACATAAGATCAATAAGAGTCATGATGAGTGACCAGCACCATGTTGGCCACACCCGGACATGTTTCGGATAATCCCAGAAAAATGGTAAATCCTTTTTAAATCAAAATCTATCAAGCGATACGTCAAATCACATGAGAATTCAAAGCCATATCCACTGGCGGTCAAACTGAGCACATCCGGACTTGTTCTAGATACCCTAGGGGAAGTGAACAAAATCTGTGTTGAGACAAATCTCATGATGCGATGTGTTGTCTTACAATTTTAATTCTATAAAATCAATCCTTAAAACATATCTTTGACGTTGTATTATAGTTTATTTAATAAAATTCTTTTTTTTCTAATGGGACTCACTTGCGGGTACTTTTCACTGTGGGACAATGGTATTGTTTTGGCTTGGTATTGTTTTCAATTTTTCTTGAACAAACCATCTTTTTTTCAATAGCACATCTCAAAAAACATAGAAAGATAAACTGAATAATGATGCTAACTCAAAATTGATAAAACTGCAGATGGGACTGACTTGCGATTACCGGCAGTATTGCACTATAATATAAAAGGAACTTGGGATTGAATACATGATTTTCTATTTTGTAAGCAAAATCGGTCGCCACAAGGCCACCGAGCTCCTTATTTCACAAAACATTTATGAGGTGTAGCGTGACTGGGTGACACCCATGGCGGGACCATGGGTGTCTTCCCTTATTATATGCTGCAAAACAAAAAAAAACTTTGAGCGAATTCAGGACAGTATCGAGAACTTCAGGATAATAAAAAAAGTAAGAGGTTGTATCCAAGATAAGACCGTAGATTTGACGTTGGGTTACGAAAGGTAGTTTTGATGTCACAGTAAAAGTATAGTATATACTATATTAAACTGAACATTATCAGAGAAAAAGTTCGATAGGTTGAAATTCGGAAGCAATTTGAGAGTTCTGTTTGTGAGGTGCTCTGTTGATGTCCATGTAGTACAAGCCAATCCTGGACAGTATGTCTTGGATACAAGCGCTTATTCTTTAGTTAACTCTTTTATCAGTCATTTGTGGTCCGCTGGGTTGGAATCTTGGAAGCCAGTTTAGAACAATGCTGTAGAAATTTGTCTTCGATGTTCTTGGAGATGATAGCGGTGCGGAAATGAAATACGTATTAGGGAAAACACATCAATCCCAAAATCACGACGAGCAACTGATCCGATCAGTGGTTGAGGGCAGCCTTGATAGCTAGCTGCTTGCGGGGAGCCTCTCGTTGTGTACTGGAGAACACCATCACTTACCACACGCGATGATTGAATGAACAGCGTCTGTTTAGACCGGATGGAATTCAATTTTGAAATCTGTGTTAGGGAAAGCGCTTTTTGCAGGCAATCGGTGTCCATTTTATGATTATAGAAACACTTGAATATTTGTGCAATTTTCAATGGTGACATTTTGAAAAATGGTAAATCCTTAATTCTAACAGATTTGCAGAAAAATTTCCTATCGATTCAAAATTAAAATCAATCATCAGACCACTTACATGCCGCGGCCGACTTTGGGTTCTGAAATTGCACCCCCAATGTTGCCTTAAAAATATATGGTATGTCAGATTTTAACATATGGGAACTGACATTCGATTGATAAACTTGACAAAACATATTTATTTATTTATTTATTTATTTATGACTAAACATCAACAGGCGTTATTGGCCCCAACGATGTAACCTAAACTAAACATGAAAAGTACAAAAAATAAACATCATTAAGTCGAATCAAGCTGAACTTTGCATTTGGTCCTAATGACATTCCCAGGTATTTTCAGCACATTGATCGATTAAATAAGCTTTTATCTAGAATCTATGACAACAAACACAAAAAGAAACGGTTATGTACTCAAGTTATTAACGAAAGAGTAAGTCAACGAAGATAATCGAACAATGTTATTTTGGACCTAATGTAATGCTCAGCTTGAAAATGTTTCAAAAAGACTCTTTATCATTTATATGGTGGTCTTGAAAAGGACCGTTTTGTCATGATGGTTGAGTAATGCTGAGCTAATAGGGTGTTCAAGACGGATGAGGCTGGCGAGCTGAATGTTGTTTGGAGCAAGGGTGACGCGCTTAGCATAGATGACCCACAGCGACACACGAAGAAACTAGTTTCGATCCATAGTGCAGCGGCTTCTTCCTCCTTCTATGGATGCTCATGTGGGCTCTGCAGCTCGCTGCTTGCAGGCTGCCTTTCGTTGTGTACTGGAGAACAATGTTCAACGCCACACGCCGAAAGCACTGCTGCTGCTGACACCGACGACCGGACACCATCACACACGGTAATTGAATGAGCACCGTTCAGTGAGACAGGATGGAAATCGATTTTTAAATCTGTGTTAGGGAAAGAATTGCAGGCAATCGGTGATAATTTTGATCACCATTGCAACAGTTGGACATTTGTGTATTTTTCAATAGTGACCTATTAAAAATTAAAAAAAATTATTCAGATTCGTAGATAAATTTCCAATCGTTTGACTTGTTTGGATTTAAAATCCATCTGCTATTGACAGTCATTGCCATTGGTCAAAACCTGACCCCTTTTCGTAATGTGATCGATTTTGGTTTTTTTTTAAATTGCACCCCAATATGTTGCTGAAAGACGTAATCCTACGTCAAAATCAGGATGAATCCAAGAACCTCAGGACAGTTCAATTAAAATCAAGGAAGTTAAAGTTACTTTACAGGCAAGAAGCTCAGCGATTTTCCGAAAACTTAAGCAAAGTTCCAACATCTACAGGGAAGAACTGAGATTTTAATGATTTTCAAGCTGTTTCATTATTTCCAGTGATGTGTTTTGAAGAAGACCTGATATCTTTAAAGTAGATCCATTAATTAATTGCTGGAACTTTCAAGAAGTTCCGGAGAATAATGGAATAATCCGAGAATTTCAGGAATGTTCTGAAAATTTCTGCAAATATTTCAGGCAAGTTCCCAGATTAACAGGAACGTTCATGGAACGCTAGAGAAGCTCCGAGAACTACTCGAAAAATTAGAAAAACTAAGAGAAAATTCTAGAACTTTTTGAAAATTTAGGAAACATTGATCATTACACTTCAGGCCAGTTCAATTATTCTGGAAAATTGCGGCAACTTTTAAAAACATCTGATAAATTCAAATCTAGAAAACATTATTGAAGTTCAGATATTTTTTTTTATTGCAGTTCCAGTAGGTATTTCAAAGTTTTACCGCGAACTGATAGCAGACACGTTCACGTTTAAATTAGGGAGAACAAAATTCTCTGTACAGTCCGAAATTACAATGATGGGCGCTCCATTAAAAACAATCAGTGAGCATCTACCTCCCAATTAACCATGACAGCACTGGTGAAATGAACTTAAGATAACAATGACAATGAAGCGATGCATCACATGCTTCCAACAGGTTTTGGCCGGTGAACTATAATTTATATCTTTCATAAGCATTCTGAAAGCATCCCTCCAACAGCGCCAATAGGTAGCCCTTAATCGATTATTCTCACCATCCCTCCAGGTACGTCCCGCTGCTGAACCCCCAGATGAAGACCTTCCCGGTCGACGGGGTGGTGCTGACCAATGATAACCTGTGCAACCAGTTCGTGTGTCAGATACGGCTGACCAATCTGGAGCGCCGTTCCGTTGGTGAGTATCGGTGTGAAATTTCCGGCGATGCACCGCAGTTCGCCCTGGCCAACGGCAGCCGAAACATGACCGTCGAAGTGCTGCCCCAGCACGATCCAATCATTAGTGGTCTCGCGGCAACCTACTATCCGGGGGAGGCGATTGAGGCCAATTGCACCTCGGACTTGTCCAGCCTCGGTACGAGCCTGTACTTTTTCGTGAACGAAAAAGCGGTGAGCATGAGTGCGATGTGATGCGAGCCGAAATTCCGAGTAAGCCAATTTATTGCCCTTTCTCAGATTCCTATCGAGTACCTTCAACCGCTGCAGGAGACCACTCTGGAGAGCGACAGTTTCCTATTGCGGTATCGAACGTTGGAGATGCACCTTCCGGTGGATAAACTTTTTCCCAAGGGGGTGGATCATGCGGCCTTGCACATCAAATGCATATCCGCCATCGATTCGTTGCGGACGGCCAGGCGCGAAACGACCACAGTTGTTGCCGTTCGGAGCCACCACTGGTCCTGGATCATCGCTAGCATGAGCAACGCCGGTGCCGGCGGTGTCCACCGGAGCAGATTTTTCCAGTGGAGTAACATCGGTAAGTCATTTTTCAGCAGCACATAAAAAAGCTATTACCTTCCTACCTACAACTCTGATTTGATTCGATTGGACAAATTTCATCAGCTGAGCCATCGCATCAGATTCGACCGTCACAAACTACCATAAATCAATCCTCCTTCCCCCCCGTCGGCCATTGCTTCCGTTCCGATGCCATCAGTCAAATCTCGCCTACATCCGGAGATCGGTGCCGATTACGGAGGGCGTGATTCTGCTTCTGAGCAGTGACTGCCCGTGAGTTGATGCAAACGAAGAAGATACGGGTAGCGATTTACGATTTATACTGCATCAGCAAGAGCGGTGCAGAGCTGAAACGCGGCTGCCAAAGTCGTAAATTTTGCCTTTCATTATCGACATCTCGGCATCAATCAGTTGGAAATTGATCAGCTGATGCCAGGGATGGAGGCTTTTGCGATTAGAAGGTGATTTGAGAGGCAAATTGAAATTGAAAGGATATCGGAGACTATGGCTTTCGACACAAAAGCCGGAGGCTTTGTCGAATCGGTAATGCGGCTCGTGACGAGTTCAAGGTTAATCGATGTCGATGGGTCGGAAATTTAAGACGGTTTGAAATTCAATTGATTTACTGGAGCTTTTTATGGCGACAAGATGGGTTACTCTTGTGTGCATGAATTGGATTTGGTTTGGCATGAACAAAAAACCTCTTCGAGCGGTTTTGAATGTTCAAGAAGAATTGTGGACACGGCTCCATTCTATCTATCTCAACGACTGAGGTATATTGCATTGCTATCTCTTTTTCTTACATGGAAATGTTACTCCATTATCCTCAAATCAATTAATAGGGGACTGTTACAAACCTTGTTTGAAGAAAAAACTCATAATTATTTTTTTTAAATCCGTAAAGATGGTATATCTCTGAATCCAAGCCAAGCTACTTTTCAAGTTTTATCATGGTTTTAAAGCTCTGTTCTGGTCTTCTTATTATTCTTTTTCTTCGCATTTCAAGCTTATTGCTCATCACTTATTAGCTCATTGCGTGCTCTCAACCGAGAGTTCCAGATGCATTAGCCTTCTTCAGTCTTTGTTAAAGTTCGAGAAGCAAACGCGACTGGTCTGTCCTTTCCTATACAGCCTTGCAATAAAACTACTCCGAGAGCAAAATTGCTTGCATCAGTAGTGAGAACGAATGGTTGATTGAAGTCAGGGTATTGCAATACATCACTTTGTGTAAGCAATTCCTTGCATTTTTTGAAGGTTTTCACAAATAAAGGTGTGTGTTCAATTACTTCACCTTTACGTAATTGAGCTGTAAGTGGCTTGGTAATTTTCGCAAAGTCGCGAATAAACCGCCGATAGTACCCGAGAATTCCAAGAAATCCCTTAAGTTGTTTTTGGTTTCTTGTTAAAGGCCACCTTCGATTTTATTGGGGTTCGGTTTGACTCCCTGATCGGTGACAATATGACCTAGGAAAGCTACTTCTTTTCTAACGAATTCACATTTGTCTAACTGTAATTTTAAATTTACTTTTTCAAGGGCTTTTAATATTTTTTTCCAAATTTTCTAAATGCTCCTGCAGAGAGGTAGAGAAAACGATAATATCATCCATATAAATGAGACAACATATTCCAATATATTCTCTGAGTACATGATCCATAACGCGCTGGAAAGTAGCTGGTGCGTTTTTTAGACCAAATGGCATACGCAAATACTCGTATAGACCATGATCTACTTGAAATGCTGTTTTTGGTACATCTCTGGGATCCACCTTGATTTGATGGAAACCTGAGGCCAAATCGAGCGTGCTAAAATATTGGCATTTACCCAGTTTATCCAGTATCTCTGTGATATTGGGTAAACGGTATTTGTCGTCTATAGTTTTAGCATTGAGCTTCCTATAGTTTACTAAACGCCATTTCCGTTCGCCAGATGCATCTGTCTTTTTTGGTACGATCCATATGGGTGATATCCAAGGGGATGTGCTAGGTCTAATGATACCTTGGTCGAGTATTTTTGAAATCTGTTTTTGTACTTCATCTTCATGGACAAACGGATTCCTGTAATTTTTAGTATAAGCAGGTAATTCGTCACATGTGTTTATAGAATGTTTAACTACGTTGGTAAATGACAAGTTATCACCGTCCGTGTAGAAAACATTGGGATATTTTCGAAGCAATCTAGTAATTTTAAGCGTTCTTCTGAATTGAGGTGATCAGTTCCTATTTTATTATTATTATTATTATTATTATTATTATTATTATTATTTGATATAATTCATCTGACACTTTTTTGTCTTAATGAATAACATAATGTAGGGTTCATACAAATATACATAAATAAAATTACACAAATTTAGTCAAGTATTACGAAAATGGTCAGTAAACCGTCGTTGCAGCGTGGACACCGGTACGTTGAAGTCGAATAAATGAAAAACTTCATCAAAGGTAGCTGACATAAATCTAACCGGATCATGCTGTCCATATAGGGTATTGCGGGGTTCAAACTGTAGGAAATTTCGTCGTCGTAGTAAACGTTCGGGGGCGTAGATATTCATTCTTGCTAGTAAGGATGGTGAATCAATGTCATTCCTGAGGATTTTAACGACGAACATCGCGTGAGCAACTTGACGTCTATTTTTCAGCGTTTCTATTCCGAGTAGTTGACAACGATCCTGGTATGGTGTCAGATGCTGAGGATGACGCCATGGAAGGTTCCTGAAAGCATAACGTACACACTTCCTCTGTACAGATTCGATTCGTGTAATCCAACTATCGTGATAAGGACACCAAACGATTGCTCCAAATTCCAGAATTGACCGTACTAGAGCACAGTACAATGACTTCAAACAGAAAACATCACGAGACACCACCGCGTCCTAGCAAGAAGTACGGTCGACTTGTTTCGCGCTCCGTTAATTTGGAAGTTTTCTCGCTATTATCTGACGTAAATAATCAGTTTTTCTCGCTTAGTGATTCCTGGCATAATTCCGGATAAATTTATCAAAAAGTGAGTTTTTTTTCTGAGAAGAAAGTGTGTTTTCGGAATCATCGAAAATTGTTTTTGCGATTGGCAATTCGCCAACCATTTTGCGCACCATCGGTGCGTGGTCACGCATACCTGTGCACACGGATCATCGTCATCAAGTGTCAGCATCTGCCTCCACATTCAAACCGCTCATCCATCATCGTGTGTGCAGCTGAGTGCCGAGCTTCATACAAGCACACACCAACGAAGACCGCCCGCACACGCGGATCGAAGATCATCAAAGCTGCGCGTCGCTCCGCTGCTGTGTAAACGCTCGGTGATAGTAGTATAGGATTATCAGATAAGTTTTTGTTCTTGTTTCTTTCTTTCTCCCATCTGTTAAATTTTAAGTTTGTGTTTCTGTGTTAGTATTTTTTTTTCTTCGTGTATTGTGTCCGAGTAATTTTGATTATCGTTGCAGTGGTAGAGCGTTTTTCGCTTCCACTAGTACGGCAAAATGGACATTTTGTCGGAAGACGAAATGGACGTTTTGTCGGAAGACGACACCACTTTGCCACGCGATAGCAAAAAGGGTCGAAAACGTCTGTCATCCCAGAAATCAGATGATGCCATCCCTGCTTCTCAGTCTGGTAATGGACAGGGACAGATAAGCCCCCGATCGCGAGCCTACCCAGAAGACTCGACTGGCCCATGGGTTGTTTACTTTCAGCCCAAAAAGAAACCTTTGAATGTAATGCAAATTACTAATGATCTGACGAAGCGGTTCTCGGCCGTGACCGAAATCTCGAAGGTGAGGTACAATAAACTTCGCGTTGTCGTCTCTAACCTGAAACAAGCTAACGAGATTGCTGCCTCCCAGCTCTTTACACTCGAGTATAGAGTGTACATTCCAGCTCGTAATGTGGAGATCGAAGGTGTGGTCACCGAAGCGAGTCTGACCCCCGAGATCTTGGCGAAGCAAGCGGTTGGCCGTTTCAAGAACCCCTTGCTTCCCACGGTTGAGATACTGGAAGTCCAGAAGTTGAACGCAGTATCTTTCAGCGAGGGTAAAAAGAGCTTTACCCCCACAGACTCGTTTCGGGTGACCTTTTCTGGTTCAGCCCTTCCTCACTACATCGAGTTGGGAAAACTTCGGCTACCTGTGCGTTTGTTTGTTCCTCGGGTCATGAACTGCCAAAACTGCAAACAGTTGGGACATACGGCCTCTCACTGTGGCAGCAAGGCACGCTGTTCCAAATGCGGGGAGAAGCACGAGGATGGCGCCTGCACAGTCACTGCACCAAAATGCGTGTACTGTAAGGGAACTCCTCATGGTCTCTCATCGTGCCCGGCGTACAAACAACGCGGGGAGAAACTAGAACGCTCTCTTAAGGAGCGTTCCAGGCAGTCTTTTGCAGCAATGCTAAAAACAGCCACACCATCAACCAACGACAAAAATCTCTTTGCTGTTTTGTCTGATGACGAGTCTGACTCTGACTTGGCTGAGGAGGGAGTTTCTTTCAGTTTTCCGGAAGGTTCTGCACGGAAACGAAAACGCATCCGTTCGCGAAAAGTTGCAGATAAGGAACCCCAAATCAGCTTGCCCAAATCAAGGAGTGATGGAAAAAAGGAAGTTTCAACTCCTCCTGGTTTCCGCAGAACTGATTATAACCAGAATTTTCCATCTCTCCCGGGGACATCAAAAACCCCTGATGGCCCATTTTTAAGAACAGAAGCCCCTTCTTCATCCGGGTTGTTCTCATTTGATAAAATTGTGGACGATATTCTCAAGTACCTCAATATTTCTGATCCTCTCAAAAGCATTGTTCTGGCATAACTCTCTTGAAGCAATTGACATTGAAGTGGCCCCTCATTGCAGCAATCATTTCCTTCGATGGATAATTTTCCAAACGAGGTCGGGGATTTGATCACTGTTCTACAGTGGAATTGTCGAAGTCTCATTCCTAAATTAGATTCTTTTAAGTTTTTAATTCACAATAATGATTGTGATGCATTTGCTGTTTGTGAAACTTGGCTCTCTTCAGATATCGATCTTC